TTCTGTGTTCTGGTCTCTGTTCCTGATGGGTTCCTGGTCCAGATGTTTCCTTGTTCTGCTCTGTGTCCCAGATGATCCTGATGTTGTTCTGGTCTCTGTTCCTCAGGAGTCCATGGCAGAGTTCTTCAACGCTCAGATGCGTCTGGCCGGCCTCTCTCAGACTCCCAGTAATCCAGTCCTCGCGGTTCAGATTAATCAGGACAAAAACTTTGCCTTCTTGGAGGTGAGGCTTCAGTTTTTAAAACTCTTTAAACTCTCGAGGTCCAGCAGGTAAGAAGCACCTGCTGAACTGCTCTGTTGATGTTTTTTCTCGCTCTGCTTTAAAGTGGGCGGAGTTTAACGTTCCACAGCAGTTTGTTTCCTCCAGGAGGGATGATGCAGCTTCGCATTATGCATAAATATAATTTGTTTCAAAAGAACAGGATTCACCATCGGCCTGCATTTCATGCTTCAGGCTGCTGCTGTTTGTCCACTCCGATGAACTTTGGTTCATATTTATTAAAGTTTTTCCATAAAGGGCTGAGGAAAGTTGATCAAAAGACATTAAATACTAATTTTCCTGACAGACCATAATATTTGTGCACTAAGGCAGGCAGCACTGTAAGAGTCATGTTCTTTGACTTCTCCAGTGCTTTTATACCATCAGACCTGCTCTGCTCTGCAGTAAGCTCCTGGGCATGCAGGTGAAGGACTCACTGGTCACCTGGATCAGAGACTACCACACAGGTCGACCATAGTATGTGAGGCTGCAGAACACCACCTCAGACACCATACTGAGCAGCACAGGGGCTCCTCAGGGCACTGTCCTCTTGCCATTTCTGTTCACTCTCTACACCTCAGACTTCAGGTACAACTCACAGTCCTGCCATCTGCAGAGATTCTGGATGACTCTGTCATTGTGGGTTGCATCACTGGAGACCAGGAAACTGAATACAGAGGTGTGGTGGACAGAACCACCTGCAACTCAACGCTGAAAAAACTAAAGAGCTGCAGGTGGACTACAGGAAGAAGACCAGACCTCCAACCCTATCAACATCAATGGTACTAAGGTGGACACTGTGAACTGCTACAAGTACCTGGGGGTCCACCTAGACAATAAACTGGACTGGACAGCTAACACCAACGCCCTCTACAAGAAAGGACAGTCGCCTTTTTCTTCTGAGGAGACTCAGGTCCTTTAATGTCTGCAGGACCATGCTGCAGATGTTCTACCACTCTTTGGTCTCTGCA